TCCCTAGAGACAGACTTCTGCCAGTTTTGTGGGGTAAATGTAGGTTGGCTTTATTTATTTATTTTTACCTCTATAAAATCACTTTTGAAACTAGGCCTCCACAATTTCCAGCCCCAGGCAGTTGGACGGCAGCCAACATCTTCCTGACACAGTGAGAAATTATTAAGGAAAAAAACAATAGTTTAAGATAACAGGCACTTTGGCTCCTAAAACAAAATGTGTGTGTGCATGCATGTGTACACACACGGACACACACACTATAACTGGACCATGAGGAGGAATGCAATTCACTCATAAATAGAATAAGGAAGGAAAGCTATTACTGCTTTCCTCAAGCAAACACTCAAAGGCACATGAACTTTTTTCTATTATGATTTTTAAACTTCCATGTAACAGAAAAGGATTAACATACCTTAGTGAAAACAGAACTCAGCGGGAGAGGGTGAAAGATACAGGACCTGGTTCCATATCTGCTATTAGCTGGGTGACTTTTAGTCACCTAACTTTTTTTCTTTCCTAAGAGTTGGTTCTTGCTGTGTATCCCAGGCTGGAGTGCAGTGGCTATTCACAGGTGTGATCAGAGCACACAACAGCCCTGAACTCCTGGGCTCAAGTGACCCTCCCACCTCTGCTTCCTGAGTTGTCATGACTAGAGGCATGCACCAACCTATCCAGCTCACCTAACTTTTGCCTTTTGAAACATCACTTTCCCAGCTGTTAAGTGAGGAATTTAGGTGAATGGGTAAATCAACATTTTCCAAATAGTTACTTCAGAAACATATTTTAGGGCCTTATTACCAAAAGTATGGTCCACAGACCCAATGGCATCATCCGTACATATCCAGGGACTTCATTAGAAATATAAAATTGCAGACCTCATACCAGCCATACCAAATCATTTTAACTGAATCACCAGCATTTTAATAAAAGCCTAGTTGATTTTTACACTCATGTTAAAGTTTGAGAAACACTGCTTCTGGGCAAGACATCCCCAAGGTGATCACATAATCAATCACCTGGATACAACTGGATACAAACACGCCTTTCTAGGTCCTTTCTCCAGTCTCAACCTGAAAGCCTGGGGTGAAAGCTAGGACTCTGCATATTTAACTAAATCCACTTCAGTAAATACATGCATTATATAAATTAATTAATTTTGTTTATATAATTTACCTTTAAAATAAAATGATCTCTAAGTGATATTATTCTAATGAGCTTTCTGGTGTTTTTGTAAACACTGGTTAAGGTGATCATGTCAAGACCCACTCTGCTGAATTGTCCCAGATGCTATAGAGGTTTAGCTCATAGTTTTTTCAGTTTTTTTGTTTGTTTGGTTTGTGTTTTTGTTGTTGTTGTTTTGAGAGAGTCTCACTCTGTCGACAAGGCTGGAGTGCAGTGGCACAATCTTGGTTCACTGCAACCTTCACCTCCTGGTCTCAAACAATACTCCCACTTCAGCATCCCAAGTAGCTGACACCACAGGCACATGCCATCGTGCCCATCAAATTTTTGGGCTTTTTTTCCCTAGAGATGGGGTTTTGACATGTTGGCCAGGCTGGTCTTGAACTCCTGGGCTCAAGCAATTGCCTACCTCATCCTCCCAAAGTGCTGGGATTACAGTCATGAGCCACTGAGCCCAGCCCATGGCAGTTTTAAAATTAGTAATTCTTACTGGATAATTGGTTAAATGCAGGAAACATAAGGGGCTCTGATGGTGAACTCCAACAATTTAATGAACAATATCGAAATGATACTAATTTTGCAAAGTCCCCTCAAGATGATTGTCATCAGATACATAAGCTACGTTCATCTATCAAAATCCTCATTTAGCACATTAAGATGTCTCTAGTACTTCAAAAACCAATCTTACAAAGAAGAAACATAGTGAATTACATCCAATTTAGCTTTTCATTTATTGGGAATAAAGACTATCCTCACGCACAGTGTGTCACTTGCAGGAAAGTGCTTACAAATAGCAGCCAGAAATCCCTCGTATCCCCATATAACATGAAAGACATTTTTTTTTTCTAAAGTGGATTTTTTATTTTCCCTGCAAGCAAATCAAAAGAATTCCAAGCAAGATCTAAAGGCAATTCCCCCACCCCCCTGACTTTTGATGCCATTACACTAGTTAAATTTCAATTTACATTTTAATGTATACTGGTCCCCAAGTCAAATGCAATATTTAATGACAAATCATGTCTTGACTTGCATAAATAATTTTAAATAAATTAAAAACCCTCTCACTTGCTACATGAGAAGAAACTAAATATGTCTTGCAAATATTAGATATTAAGTAAACTGGATAATATAGGCTTTAATAATATTCAGACATACTTTTATTTAAAAATCACATCTTTATCACATCTTTGATAAAGATACAAAAGAGTGACAAAATATTTTTTGAATCTCTAAGGCGACTTGTGAGATTATTAGCACAAATATATTTTATGATTCTAAAAAGGTGGGAAATGATGGAAAAGTGTTTTCTGGGGCCAGGCTCAGTGGTTTGTGCCTGTCATCCCAGCACTTTGGGAGGCCAGGAATTCAAGTAGCCTGGGCAACATAGCAAGACCCCATCTGGGTCTCTCACTCTCTCTTTCTCGTTCTCCCTCCCCCCCATACACACACACACACACACACACACACACATATCCATATATGTCCATAATTTACATAAAAATAGTACTAAGTTACTAAAATTTTAATTCAATTAGTTTCAATATGGATTAACACATCTGCAAGTGAAAGATGCTAGTGCTATGGAGAATCAAATATATCATAAAATAATAGCTGATGATTGATAAATGCTCATCAATGCTAGGCACAGTTTTATATAGTTTACCTCTAACTATCAAAATAATTCTATGAACTAGGCACCCTTTTATCAACGAAAACATTAAGAAAGAGAGAGACAAAATAATTTCCCTACCATCACAAAACTCAATAGTGGAACTGAAGTTGGAAACCACCAGGAGTCTGAGTCTGGGCTCCTCCCATGCCATGCATGTATGAAAGTAGAAACTGCAGGAGTGAAGGCAAAAGTCAGACATGTGAGGGTGACACACAGAAGTGCAAAGTGTTTGAAAGGACAAAGAATACTGTACCCATGACGGCAATGGGAAATTAACAAAGGTATATTTGAACCATATTTTGCAAGATTTTGTAAGCTAAAAGAAAGCTTTTCCTTGAACAAAACCCCGGGAAGTTTCTAGCAGCAAGTAGCAATGTAGAATTAAGTGAGCAAGAAAGATGGAGATGGGAAGGATGGTCATGTGCATAGATCAGGGAGATGCTATTTACAGTAGTTCAGAGTATAGGTCATGGGGTCTCAGAGAAGTGAACAGGAAAGGAAAAGTGAGGGTAAGCAGAAAAACCTGAGGGGGTCTACGTGAAATCCCCTCTGCTGTTTTGCAGAAAGAGCATTGAAATTACCTACTTTAGGTCGACTCAAGTCAGATGCCCTGGCTGCCCTGATTGAGACCACACTGGGAGCACAGATGTGAACTTGTTAAGAAGAGACTAAATGCAAACATATTCCCTCTCTCAGCTGATCTGCTACTTTAAAGTCATAAGGTAATTGTTGGCTAAAGTTAATTAACTAAATAACTATAGAAAAATATTTTCCATGGCTCTCGAATCAAGAGCATGGCTTATGAGGTGACGTCTTCTCCCTGGACTATTAGAACTCAATGAACACCCAGGAGAGGACTACCCCAAATCGCCAGTGGAATGAAGGTGAAATGCATATTTTAAGAGAAAGATTTCATTTCCCAGGAAACATAAATGTCTCTACAAATAGCAATTCCCTCCTATTCTTAATCCCTAAACCATCAGCATCTGCTATTACTTGAGTCCTCAAATAAATCTCTCTCGTCCTCTATTTTTTATGACACTCTCAAAAGGCGATATTTGAATAAAACAACAATAACCATCTCTTTCCCCATCTCCTAATTCTTTCTGGAGGGTTTTTACATTCTCAGGCACACAAAGGAGGTGTTCTGGGGATCCATGGAGGTGGAATAATAGAAGTGGGAGGGCTGAAGACATTTTCGAGGAGGAGAAAAGTTTGTGTATTTATGAATCTTTTTTAAAATTATAAAAACACTGATGCTGAAAGATGATAAAGAAATCTTGGACTCTCCTGAAAAGCAATTTTCTTTCTTTCATATTATTTTTCAAGTGTATATATTTTTTTCATCCTACCTGGGTCAAACTAATGCAGTTTTAAAACTCATTTCCATGTTTTAAGATTCAGAGAGAAGAGATTGAACAGTAGGCTATAAAAATCCCTTAATGTCTTTAATGTAGTATTTTTGCAGATCTGCTGGAAAGTAAACAGTCATTGCTCAACTTTTCCCATAAGTGCCTCTTGAACTTTGTCATTGACAGTGAACAGCAGTATCCATTGGTGTGAATTTCATTCTCTCAGGAACAGGTTCTTCCTGGCATTGTTGAGACACCTGCACTCTGACCGTCTAGGCAGAATCTCTTGGCCAAACTGATTTGCTAATTGTACCCTGGAGGAAATTATCAAACTTATTTATTTTTTGAGAAGGAGTCGCTTTCATTCTTTCACCCAGGCAGAAGTGCAGTGGAAAGATCTCAGCTCACTGCAACCTCCACCTCCTGGGTTCAAGTGATTCTCCTGCCTCAGGCTCCCCAGTAGCTGCGACAGATGCACACCACCATGCCCAGCTAACTTTTGTATTTTCAGTAGAGACGGGGTTTCACCATGTTGGCCAGTCTTGTCTCGAACTCCTGATCTCAAGTGATCCTCCTACCTTGGCCTCCCAAAGTACTAGGATTACAGTTGTGAAAGACTGTACCACGCCTGGCCAGAAATTATCAGACATTTTAAAATACCATCTTAAAAGACTAAATTTAAGTCCTCTCATCTACATTCTCCAGAAGCATCTGACATCTCTAAAGCCTCTCTTCAGCTCTATTTAACTCTCATTTGTGTTCTTACAAGACAAGGTCACCCAGAATGTACTTACAGGCTATGCGCACAGAGGCTTTCCTGCTCTTGGAGGTACCCAGGTGGCTCCACGCCACACACTGGCACCAATAGTCCTCGGGCCCGTGGAAGTCCTCCACCTGTTGCCTGGTAACATTGATGAACACCTCTCGGACCTTCAAGCCTGATGGTGGGGGAGAGAGAGGGAAAAATCAGCTGAGGCTGTTATATTTTTCAAACAGAAAGTTCAGGTTAGCCAAACCTTTTCTTTTTAATTAAACAATCCTGTTTTTAATCAAGGCAAGGTTTTAATTACTTTGACAATAATATATTACTGCTAATTAAATTTCAACAGCCGAGTAAGCTAGAAAGCACATGTGTAAAGTCCTACCAACCAATTGTGGCTCCCATGCAATAGAATAGTTCTCGCAATACCTTGACACAGTACTGTTTGTCTTTCTTTGGTGCTACATTCCTCAAAGATTTTGCACAATGTTAATTGGTGGGATACTACAAGCCAAAGAGGCCTCCACACGCCAATGCCAGGGACACAGTTCCAAGTTGTTCTAAAGGCCCCTACTTCTGGGTTTGGCTGCTAGGGAGGGTCATTGTAACAGTATGGCTTAGAAGAAAGAGCAGGCGGTGAACATGTGCAGATGGGGTGACCAGGCTGAAAATCCAAGGAAAGATCAAGGCACCGGCATCAAAGGCTCAGGACAACAAAACCAATGGGACCAAAAGAAGGAAGGAGCACAAAGAGGAGACAAGTTGAAATAAGTATTTCTCTTTTAGTGATGGGGGTCTCAAACTCCTGGCCTCACGTAACCCTCCCATTTTGGCCTCCCAAAATGCTGGGATTATAGGTATGAACCACTGTGCCCAGCTACATGTGATAGTTAGATACATGTATACAATATGTGATGATCAAATCAGTGTAAGTGAGATATCTATCACTTAAAATATTTATTTTTTTCTTTTTTGTATTTTTAACAATATATCATAGTACACATAAACCAGGTCAGTCTTGAGAGAAGAAGCCAGGGCGGCCCCCATAGTAATGGTATGAGGATTTGAAGAAAGAGAGGTTTTTATAGAAAGAGTGGCTAAGGGCACAGCAGTAAACTGAGATGGAGCTATTATGACCATAATCTTTTAATTTTTTTTTTGGTTACTTTACAGTCGTCCTTCTAAAATTAAACAAATTGTTTGGTGCTTCTAACTGGAGAGTGTGAGCTTCTTCTTCACCTTTGACCAAGGATTACCAACCATTCTCTCCTTGGGAATAACATTCGCCCTGTGCCAAGGATGGAGGGGGCACCTCTCTTGCCTCACCAGTTAACTCATCACAAACAGGGAGGCAGCCTTTACAGCCAGCATGTCCTCTCCATCCAGCATACATTCTCTGAGGTTGTGCCTTGCTCTAGGATAGACAGTGTGGGAGAAGAAGAGGCAATGCTTATTGAATTCCACCTAACTGCCTCATAATCATGATAAACCTTGAACCTATTTGCTCCTTACATTTCCACAGTACTCTGTCGCAATGCATGTTATTGTGTCCCTACTTTGCAAAGGAAAGAACTATGACTCAGAGTTTTGTGATTTGTCCACAGTCACAGAGTTTGTAAATGAAGAGTTCAAAGTTTGAGACTGGTGGTCTTACACCAAAACTAGCATTATGTTCAGGTACCTCTCAAGGATTCAATTCTGTCCCTTTATTTAAGGTACTTACACTTAATTTTGACAATAAGATTAATACATGGAACTATTTTTAAAATTAAGTACATAACTATGTTTTTCCTTTAATTCCGGGGATAGAATCATCACTATAATCAAAATGAGTTCAAAACTCTCGATGGAGGAGGTGTATCATGATTATATCTTGGTTGCAGGATTTAAAAAACATGAATGGAGGTGTAGGATTAGTCAGGCTGGGGAAACGTTCCCTTCTACCCAATCAATAACATGTTATTTATAGGGTGTGATGAGACATGGTTGTGGCCACATAAGTCACCACGTGCAGTGTGAGGTATGTTTTCTAAATTTGTAGTAGGAACCCACATAACAGAAAATCATCTTGATGACAGTTGATAACTCATGTTTCCCCTGTTTTTGAAAAGTACAAAAGTACCATGTTTTTTTCCCTGTCAGAGACTAAGGGTCCTGAAAGCTAACTCCTAAATCAAATAGCAGAACAGGAGCCTTGGAGTGATGATGTTGTTCCTGCTGCTTTGTTTTTTCTTTCTTTGCACTTTAATGAAATGAGAAATATGAGTGGGCAAAGACCAGGAGAAGGTGGAGTTGGCAGGCAAAAGTGATAGGAAAGATTATCACAGAAGTGGAAATAAAGGAAGGTGTTAAAAAATTGTTAGAAGCAGACAAAAATATACACTGGGGAAAGGACACCGTAATTCAATAAATAATCCAGGGTAAACTGGATCTCCATTGCCGAAGAATGAAACTGGATCCATCTTACCATATACAATAATTAACTAAAAATGGATTAAAGACTTGAATGCAGGACCTTAAACCATAAAAATTCTAGAAGAAAATCTAGAAAAAGTCTGCTGAGAAAACCTAGAAAAAGTCTACTGGACATTGGCCTAGGCAAATAATTAATGACTAAGAACCAAAAGCAAATGCATTAAAGACAAAAATAAATGAGGCTTAAACTGAAAAACACAACAAAAGAAATGAGAGGGTAAATAGCCAACCTACAGAATAGAAGAAAAATATTTGCACACTATGTATTCCACAAAGAAATAATATCCAATATCTACAAAGGACTCAAGCAAGTCAGCAAGAAAAGACAAATAATCCCACTAAAAAGTAGGCAAACATCATGAACAGATTTTTCAAAAAAAGATATACACGTGTCCAACAAACATAGAAAAATGCTCAACATTACTAATCATAAAGTGGCAAATTAATACCACCATAAGCAGGCACCTTACCACAGTCAAAACGACCATTATTTAAAAGTTTAAATATAACAGTTGTTGGCATGGATGTAGTGAAAAGGGAATACTTATAGTTGGTGGAAGCGTAAATCAGTAAAACCTCTGTTGAAAACAATATGGAGATTTCTCAAAGTACTACAAGTAGATCTGCCACTTGATCCAGTAATCTCATTACTGGGTATCTACACAAAGGAAAAGATGTCATTATATCAAGAATCGTGTGTTTATCACATCGCAATTCACAATTACAAAGAAACGGAATCAAGCAAAAGGCCATTGGCCAATGAATGGATAATGAAAATATATTCTATCATGGAATGTCACTTAGCCATGAAAAAAGAATAAATCATGTATTTTGCATTAACTTGGTTGGATCTGGAGACTGTTCTCCTAAATGAAGTAACTCAGGAATGGCAAACCAAATACTGCATGTTTTCACATCTGATTGGGAGCCAAACCATAGGTATGCAGGAAATACAGAGTGGTATGATGGACACTGGAGTCTCAGAAGCAGGGAGGATTAAACAGGGTGAGGGATACAAAACTACATATAGGGTACAATGTACACCATTTGAGTTTCAGGTATGTTAAAAGCCCAGACTTCACCAATATACAATTCATCCATGTAACCAAAAAACACCTGTACCTCTAAAGCCATTTCTTTTTAAGTTTATTAGGACAGAAAGCAGACTGGAGTGGAATATGCATATTAGAAAGTAAAGTTGAGCAGGTAAGATGGAGGCAGTAGGCTCTGGAGAAGAGGGCTTGCTTTATGTTTTCCTATCTGGCCAAATGGTTGATGATCTTGATTAAGGAGAGAGAACATCCATCAATGCACACAGGTAGGAGGAGGTAGAGTGACTTTAATATGCCGGAAGCTCCTATATTACAGAACAGGGAGACCTATTAAAGCAGAATATACCCACACTTTGAGAAGTGGAGTCTCACCAAAGAAGCATTTATAAGCATTTTACCCAACTGCTACAGAAGACACATTCATCTCTTCAGCACATAACATATTCTCCAGAATGGACTATAGGATAGGTCATAAAACAAGCCTCAAAAAATTAAGAAATTGAAGAAGAGAGGATACTTCCAAACTCATTCTGTGAGGGCAGCATTACCCTGATACCAAAACCACACAAAGACACAACAACATCAAAACTACAAGCCAATATACTTGATGAACACAAATGCAAAGATACTCAATGAAATACCAGCAAATCAAATTCAGTAACACATTAAAAGAATCATTCACCATAATCAAGCAGTATTGATCTCAGAGAGTGAGGACACTTCAACATAAGCAAATCAATAAACATGACATATCATATTAACAGAAGGAAAAATAACAAGAAAAAAATGATCCTTTAAATAGATGCTGAAAAAGCATTTGACAAAATTCAACATCCCTTCATGTAAAAACCTCAAGTAACTATATGTATAAAAAACATACCACAAATAATAAAGTCCATATATGACAAACTTACAGCTAACAGTTTACTGAACAGAGGAACACTGAAAGTGTTTCCCCTGAATCTGAAACACAACAAGGGTGTCCACTTCTACATTTTTATTGAGCGTAGTACTGAAGTCCTAGCCAGAGCAATCAGGCAAGAGAAACAAGTAAGAGGCATTCATTTGGAAAGAAAGAAGTCTAATTAGCCTTGTTTGTAGATGACTTGATCTTATATTTAGAAAAATGTAAAGATTCCACTAAGAAATGTTGGAATTAATAAACAAATTCTGTATAGTTGCAGGATACAAAATCAATACAAATATCAGTAGCAATTAAATATGTTAGTGGCGAATAATCTGAAAAAGAAATCAAGTAAGCAATCTCATTTACAATAGTCCCCACACCCACCCCCCAAAAAAAATACCTGGGAATAAACTTAACCAAAGACATGAAAGATCTCTGCAAAGAAAATAATGAAACTCTGGTGAAAGACATTGAAGAGGACATACACATACAAAAGTAAGGATAGTCCATGTTCATGGATTGCAAGAATTAATGTTATTAAAATGTCAATACTAGGCAAAGCAATATACAGATTCAAGATACTCCTTATTAAAATACCAATGACATCTTTCCCAAACATAGAAAAAGTAATCCTAAAATTTGTATGAACCCACAAAAAACCCTGAATAGCCAAGACCAAAGGAACCAAGAACAGCACTGACAAAAGGATAGTATCTACAATAAATGGTTCTGGGGAAACTGGAC